TTGGAAAAAATTGTGGCCAATAGAGATGAAAGATGCTCAAGTTCAAACAGAAAATGAAAATTTTCCGGAATTTTTGGGCATGGAGTCCCTTTTAATCGGTGCAGAATGTGTGCCAGGTCTTTCTGAACACGAGAAAAAGAATGAATTAATAGATTCAGTTAATCGAATAAATGGTTATGAAAAAGTAACCCAAGAAACTTTGTCAATTTGGATGTCAGAGAAATTAAAAGGTGATTAATATTTTATTTGTTTTAAATATAACATTTTTTATCAAAAACAACATTGTTAGAAAAAATAAAATTAATTAATGATTGTTATTTACTTATTACAGTGAATGAAGACATCTGGACAGATGAAGAAATTGTAAACCAAGTTCGTGGTTCTGAAGATTGTTATCCATTGAAAAACTACGAAAATGAAGCTTCAACTTTCCAAGACAGTAGCAATGAAAATAACATGGATTTTAATTTTTTTACGAGCTCTATGAACATTTTAAATGACTTAGAATTCACAAGTTTGTGAGCAAGAAGTGTGCTTCTCTACAATTTTCTTAGGAAAAATAAATTTAACCAAAGATATAATAATGAGACTGACATTATTATTGTTAAGTAATAACAGATTTAAAAAGTCTTTTTCACAAATTTAAATTTGGTATATGTCAAAGATGAGCTAAAGAAATTGCTATAAATTATAAATTGAAAATTTCGTTAACATATGAAAATATCAATTTTAGTTCGTAATTAGACATAAGTGCAATTTCATAAACTTGTGATATTTATATATTTTTAGTTCATGTGTATGTTTTTTGAAATTTCGTATAGGCAATCGTTTTGTTAACATTATAAGCCAAAAATGAATTAGAGAAAAAATACCAATATATTATTCCTATAAATTACAAATTTGAAAAGTTGGTTATTGAAATATAAAAATGTAAATTTTAGTTTGTGATTAAATATGGTATTTTATAAATTTGTGATATTATATTTTTAGTTTATGTGTATATAAGTGTTTTGAAATTACGTGTAAACAATCATTTTGTTAACAGTATATGCCAATACTGAATTAACAAAAGTATCAATGAAATTATAATTATAAATTCGAAAATTTCGTTGAAAAATAACAATATGTCAAATGTAGATTGTACTTTAGATATATAAGTTTAAACACTTGTGATACCAATAATATATTCTTGGTTTGTGTACGTAGAATTCAGTCCCAGTATTAAAAACTAATTTTGACAATTTAAAATTGTGTTCTAAAATTTATTTAACAAAAAACTCCATAAAGTAGTTTCAAACCGGTATATAATTCATTCCACCCCACAGTGACAAGTGACGGTTAAATATGAGAAATGAGTTCTGAAATTCTAAAAAAAGATCTATATTGATGAAGAAGCTTGCATAATCTAGAAATCAATTCCAATACATAATAGAAATGAACTTTAAGCATGAAGTTCTCAGTTTAAGTTTAAAAATATTTTAAATAGTTTCAGTTTTCAAATTTGAGTCGTTTGTTTAAAAAAATTCTACAATCTAAGAATTCTGAAATAGATAAAAGTGTTCTAAACCTGGAAAATGAGCTTTACAATATTAAAAAGTGAGTTTTATAAAATCAAAAAAGAAGTTTTGGCATTTGAAAAACAGATCTAATTTTGAAATAGGAGCTCCACTCACAAAAATGTTTGTTTACATTCAAAAAAATATTGGGTTTTTTAATGCACAAACAATTTTGAACTTTGTAATCACTAAAAAATACAAGTTTTCACTAAATTTGGTTTACGGCACTATTCATAGAGAGGGAATCGTATTCCGAGACCGAGCGAGAGCGTCTTGATAGTCGTGAGAAGTGGGGGTGACTCTCGAGTGAAAATGAGGGGAAGCGGCACTATTGATAGAGGCACTAATCATAGAGTCGACTGTAACTTTATTTATTTGTAAAATATTTTATTTTTTATTAACATTAATTAATTAATATCTCGAAAATAACAAAAAGGACATCGCAATATTTTTTGTGGTGGAAATACACATTTTTAGCTTTCAAAAAAAATAATTAAATAAAAAAAAGGCCGAACTTAAAAAAAAGTCAAAACTATTTTTGATTTTCAAAAAAAGGATCAAATTTTGAATTTTTTTGCACCATTCAAAAGAGCAGGAAAAAACTTTTCGAAAACATACAAGACAAATTTTTTTTCATCTTTCTGTTTAAAAGTTAAAAGTCTTAAAATATTCACTGTTTAAATTTTTCAAAAAAATTCAATCCCCTCCCTCTCCTACAGTTTTTGAAAAACTCTGTGCAAGTTACAGCCCGATCCGATCAACTTTTCTTTTCATTTAGTACGCTACAGGAATTTTACCCCATATATATATATATATATATATATATATATATATGTGTGTATGTTTATGTAGGTATGTGTATAGTTATTGAATTTTATTTTGAGAATCTTATACGAATTCATTATTATAACTTTTCGAATATCCTCGAGTCGACGATACACAAGTGCATCAATAAATGTGAAATTACGGGCGTATGGCACGGATTCTGAAAATCATTACCAAGCCGATGTTTCATGTTCTTCATTTTGATCTACAAGGCATAAGGATTATTCTAGTATAAGTTATCGATAAGGCATCTTAATTAAAAAAAAATTAAAATAATAATTTCATTAAATTTATCTGTCTCAATTTGTATCTATAAATAATGTCAATTTCGCTTTTTTCACATTTTGTGCTTTTTAGGAATAAATTGTGAGGTATAATATTTGCAATTTAATTAATATAATTAACATTGTTCATAATCCGCTATTGTGCTATATGTATGTATGTTGAATGCAGAATTCAGCGAGAGGTTATACTGACCCGTTTCGATAAATTGAAATTATTAATTACTGTTTACAACGTTCTTTATTCAATTTATTACGTTATTTCTTTTTATATGTATATTTGCTGTTTATAAAATAAATGAAAAAAAACCAAGGCGAAGGAACAAGTTCTCATCGAATCACGAAAGTAAGGCAACATTGGACGCGGTTAGTAGTTGGATTGGTGATCATTTGCATAGACATTCGACGAAATGTTTTTTAGTATAATTTAATTTTCGATCCAATGCCAAATTTTAGTATAGTGAGACAAAGTAAAATTGATATCGTTGCAGTTTTTCCCCAATTTAGTACACGGAAAAACTTTGTGCAAGAATCATTCCTAAATTTGTTCAGGAACTGAGGATATGAGAATAATTTAAGAAATCTTATTTATATTTTCTTTGAAAAATTCTAAGCAGTATTTCTATAATAATTGTAGAGAAATTCAAGACAACTTCCTAAACTCACTACAGAAAGTCTTGAACTTGTTTTAGAATAAATTTTTACGTTTGCGAGAAAAAAAATTTACTCTGGTAGGACTCGATCCCACATCCTCGAGAGTCCAAAAACTCCGCTTTACATCTCTCAGCTTCCTTAGCAGCTTATGGTATTATGCATTGGAAACATATTTGAATTTTTTTCGCGTCCTCAGTTCCTGAACAAATTCAGGAATGATTCTTGAACAAAGTTTTTCCGTGTAGTCATGTTAGTAAAAATACATAGTAAGTTTAAAAAAAGTGGTTTACAAAGTTTCTCCGTGTGATAAGGCGTAAACATATAAGAGCATCCCTCTTCTCATTTTAGGGATGGTTTTTAAGGTAATTTTATGTGTTAATATTTGAAGAAGTAAATCTTAATTTTTTATAGATATTTTAATTACATAGAAGACGATTTTTGGATTTTTGTCTATGCTTAAAGTGCTAATAGTAATTTTTTGATTTAAGGGTTGCATTTTGAATTTTTTTGTGGGATTCGAGAGCCCTATTTGAGCTCTAAATTCTGATCATAGAAAGCATCTAATTTATTATGACAATATTGCTAGGCAATACTTAAGCAATATTGACACAATCTTGTAGCCATATGTTGTGCTATTTGGGATAACTATTGTTTAATATTACATTTTCATAGTTGTAGAAGTTGCTTTAGAAAACATAAATTCCAACATATAATTCTTCATGAAATTCCATTTATTTGTAATTATTATAACATTTTCTACTCGAATGGTGAACCTTCGATGCTAATGTTATTTTTATTAAACTTTATTTTCTCAGGGTAGTTTCATATGCTTGAAATATTAGTATTTTTGTGATGCTGAAGAATAATTGATCTACTGGATCAAAGAAGGACACATAACCCATTTGAATTACATTAGTTATGTGCCCTTCTTTGATCCGGTAGCTTAATTGCAATGATGTTTTATATTAAAAATTGTTTCTAGATATGATTACTTCCTGGAAACAATTTAAAAATGTGTCATATTCTGAACCTACCAGGTGAATTTACTCTTGTTTTAGAATCGTACTGTTAGGCTCGCTGTTAGGTGGTTGAGTATTATATTTTGATTATGTAGTACCAATTTGAATTTATAGAGATAGAGAAAACCCTTTAAGTGCGGAAAAAGTCCCCAAATTGACTTACTGTTAATTAAGAGGCTGTATTCATCGCAAAGGATAAGGTAGAAAATTGATTGACGAAGTAGAATTAAGGGGGGAAACTCATGTAAATGCATGTTTTTTCAAGATTTTTTTACAAAACAGTGTTATATTTTATTTAAATAAAGCAAAGAAATAAACCAAGATTTACTATCACTTGCTAATAGGATTATATTCTACAGATAGTAAACTAATTTTAAAAAATTTTTTTTACATGAGTTTTCCCCCTTGATTTGCTTCTGTGTAGAAAACAAGAAAAAGAAGACCATCCAATCATCAATCGCATTTTTGAGTATTTTGCGCAGACGCGAATTTAACCTACTAATATATCCAGCTTAATTTATCTATTCCATATACTTTAACCTTCGCGATGAAAACAGCCTCTAAATTAAAAGAATTTAAAAATTTTCCCTTTAAACTATATTTTACAGTGGAATCGGTATAAGGATATTGTTAAATAATGTTTAGTTGTATAAAGCTGTACCTACCTGTATGAGATGAGTAAGGAACAGGACGCAGGCAGCGGCCGCCCTCATGGCTTCCCTCGGGAATCCCTCAACTACCGCATCACCATTAGTTGTTAAACCACTTGGTTGGCAAAAGCCAACACGTTTCAAAACTACTAAATTTTTTTATCACTTTCACAGATTCATACGTTTTAAATCACTACAACACTTTAAATAATTTTCTCAACTTTAGCACTAAAATTCATATTTAGAATAATTTTTAACTCGGAACAATTTAAAGCAAAAGTGGCCCCAGAGCTTGTAAACAAACTGATTCCTTTTCTTTTTAACACTTTATTCGCAACACTCTTTTAAACAAGTATAGGAAAATAAATTTATTCACAAAACAATTTAAAAACACTGCATTGAAAAGAGATAACTTGGAACTACGTGACATATAACGCTGTAGTTTCGTGATTTTTACTCCACATTGCCCCACAGCTTTAAGGGAATAAATTAAATAGCTCTTTTATTTTCTATAGTCTCCACTTCGTTAGGTATACGTTTAATAAAGAGTACGCATAATTAAAAAAAAACAAACGAAATTTTCTTTATTCTCAGCTTGTTTCATTTGCAGTTTCCTCTTTATAAATTCAATCAGAGGTTTGCAATTGTAGTTTCATTTTGAGTTTTTTGTGGAATAAAATATTGTCGCACAATTGTTGACACGCGACTTCATTATGAATGTATCCGATCAATTGTTTGTCTGCTCTGAAGTTTTTTCCAGATCACACATGGGAAAAAAAATTAGAAACCCCTCTCACGTGTATAGCAAATTATAAGTTTACGAGCTCAAAATAGGCTTTTACATTCATCGCTAACTTATCTAACGTTGAGTAGTTAGTCTCATAAGAAATGAATTATCTGCAACAATTATTTCTCCGTTTTTGCATCCGAGCCGATCAGTTCAATTATAATCGAAATAAATTTTCAATTCAGAAAACCTCGAAAGTTTATTTAAAACAAGATTATTTATTATCATCATTAATACTAACTGCTACTAGTATTTTGCACTTAAAAGCAACCAAAATAGTTTAAAATTCAAAATTTCCTCATAATGCACATTTCAACACTTCAAACATCAAGATTAAACATCAAACAGCTTCTTGGTAAGTAATCATAAACCGGTTCTTAATTATCCAGATTAGTTTTGGTTCCCACATTCATTGACTATAGACAAAAGCACACTTAATAAAATATGTATCTGAGAACAGTTTGCACCTTGTGCCGTTAGAAAATTTAAACAGAGAACATGTGCGGGTTATATACAAGGCGATCGCTTCAGGGACACTGACTGGAGCCGCAGGCCGGCCTGCGGGCCTCCCCCTCCAGGGCCCTCTGCTTTCTCCCCCTCTTGTAGAATAGCATCACCCCTTTCCCATATTTTTAAATCTCTCCCGCCACCTTGTCCTGGTGGCCCCTCATCACAGAGACTTTATACGCGCTGCCAAGTATCCCCATAGAGTTATTGGTATCCTGCGTGTAGTATGGAGGTGTTGGTTGGTTTCTCGGGAGGCTATACATGTCTGAGTAACGCAGATGCGTGTGGCTGCATGAAAGGTATAGTGCTATGGGCAATATGCTCTCTTACCTTCCTACAAACCGAGGTATTACTCGATATACCATAATGTGCCGCAGTTCGTGGATGGATGCTGCTTGCTGATCTTATACTTGGTTTCATCAGGATTGACCAGTCAGCAAGAATACTTTGAGTCATTCTCGGGGTCAAGGAGGAGTCGAGGGCAAAGGTGACCAAATTGTAATACGTTTATTGGTCTCAACAACAGTGAAACACTTTGAGATTGAATCAGTTAAAACTTTACTGATGGGCTAATCGGAACTACACAAAAAATTTTAAACTATATGTTTTCGAAAGTTTTTTTTCTGCTCTTTCGAATGGTGAAAAAAATTTTTTTTTAAATTTTTATTATTTTTTTTGACCTTCAAAATGAAACTTAAGATATATACTTTCAAAACAAAAAAAATGGAATGACGTTTTTTTGTTTTCGAGATATTAATTAATTAATGTTTATAACAAATGAAATATTTTACAAACAAATAAAGTTACCGTAATTCTGAAGTTAGCAATTAAAAGTTAACGTAACTCAGCATCCAACGAGCCCTATATGAAGTATTTTGGATAAGTAAATTGTTAATAAACAATCAGTTAACATTGCAATCGTTTATTAACAATCTAATTATCCAAAATACTTCATATAAAGCTTGTTGGATGCGGAAATGCCTTAAATTTCAATTGCTAAATTCAGAATTACGGTAACTTCATTTGTTTGTAAAATATTTCATTTGTTATATACATTAATTAATTAATTATTATTTAAAAAACGTCATTCTAGTTTTTTTTGGTATTGAAAGTATATATCTTCAGCTTCATTTTGAAGGTCAAAAAAAAACATAATGTCCTTTATTAAAAAAAAGTCAAAAATATTTTTGATTTTCAAAAAAGGGATAAATTTTAAATTTTTTTAAATATAATAAATCAAATTTTTTTTCATTCATTTACCTATATAGAAGTTACGATATTTTAAAAAATCCACTGTTCACATTCGACCAGAAACATGAACCACCTGCTTCCTCTAAAGTTTTGCATAAAACTTAATAATAATTTATAGGTGTAGTACTCATCCATAGTACTAAAGTTTGGGCAAATTTTAGCCCGATCCGAAAACATTCAATTTTAAAGTTGGATCACTTCAGGAATTTTGCCTCATATTATCCTATATATAATCCTATCCTATATAATAAATCTCTAAACGATAATCTCTCGAAGTTTTGTCACAGTAACGCGTATCTCATTGGTCGAAGTGTTATTCGTCATCTTCGTCTTACATGCACACTAGACGTCAACACATAGACACGTATAGTCGTTCTCTATCTTCCTCGTATACGCACATTAGACGCAGACACATATATGTATATGTATAATCGTTTTTTGTTTTTATTATAGAAGCCCGTTCTTACCGACATATGGAAATATAAAAAGTATGGACCACAGGCGACTTAATACTAAAGATTTAATTGTTTATCAGATCAAGAAGTCTAAAAATCATTTTTCAAAATGTGGAAGTCAAATAGTTGACATTATAATTGTTTGATCAGTTCAATATTTAAAGTTTATAATGCGTAGAAGGTCATGCAGTCAGAAATTCATTTTTTATAATAGTGAAATTTAATAGTTATGAAAAATCCAGTCTTTAATTGTTATGTAAGATAATGTATATAGTCAAAATTAAATTGTTTGCATATAGTTAAATATTCGACACGTCAGTTGTTTAAATAGTTTAGTAGTCACACTTTTAATTGTCTCAGAGTCAAAGATCAAGTATGGTCAGAAATTCATGTTTAACCCTTGCTATTCAATCAAATTGTCGAATTAAAGCGACAATCTATGAAAACTGCAAAAAAATTTATTTGTTAATTATAAAAGATTTTATTTTCTAAAATAAATTTAGTGTTATAAAATAGTTTTAATTTTTATTTATTTGATGTTTTATAATCATTTGTAATTAATTTTTTCATTTTTATTTCATAAAAAAGATAAGTGGTGATCTCGCCCTAATAAGTATTGGGGTGAGATCACCACTTGCAGGTATAGCGTAGAATGGCAGTAGATCGAAATAATTTTCTTCTTCTTAAATGACTTGAGGCTTGGCCAATTGTCAGAACAACAAGCTTGAAATAATGAAACGACCTTAACTTGCGTCAATGGAGTAAAATGTAGCCAAAGAGTCTATCTTTCAAACCTTTTTTGGTTTTTGTCTTTATCGGCTCGGGGACTGGAGATAGAGATTTTACTACTTAGAGTGGTTCAATAGGCTTTAAGAACATTTTTTTTGTAGAATTAATAAATCTTTTGCAATTGAAACTACTACTTTAAGTAGTAAACTATACTACTGAAAGTGGTTCAATAGGCTTTAAGGACATTTTTTTGTAGAATTAATAAATCTTTTGCAATTAAAACTACTACTTTAAGTAGTAGATTTTACTAACTTAAAATAGGAAAATAAAATTATTTTTTATTTATAATTGTTTATTATCAGTAGAATTGACTTTTTCATCCTCTCTCCTATACTGACGCTTATTTTATGCCCTAACGATTATGTTCCGAACACAGAAAATTTCTAACCGACGGGAATTGAACCCTCGACCCTAAGGCTCGCTATCCGATACCTTAACCGACTAACCACGCACGCTCGCTACGAAAGTCTGCAAACTACTCGAAGACTACTTTCTGCTTGTCCAATTGGTAATTTAACTATTTAAAGTAGTCATTTTTACTACTTTTATTAGTTGCTATAACTATCCTTTTTAAGTTTTGACTTGTAAATTTTTCATCTTTTAATTACATTATAAGTTGTTTAATTGCATAGTGCAGTAAAATCTACTACTTAAAGTGATAGTTTCAATTGCAAAAGATTTATTAATTCTACGACATAAATGTTCTTAAAGCCTATTGAACCACTTTAAGTAGTAAAAGCTACTACTGAAAGTAGTAGTTTTAATTGGAAACGATTTGTAAATTTTACATCAAAAACGTTTTTCAAGCTTATTAAATTAATTAAAATAGTAAAAAATTACTGCTTAAAGTAGTAGTTTTAATCACAAAGGATTTGTTAATTCTACAAATAAGTTTTAAACACTAAACAAAAAAGGCGCGCGCAGTCTCGGTATAGTGTATATTTATATCTATGCACGGAGAAAAATAGATGGTAAGAACTTATGATCTTAAGATGGTAAAAAGTAGATGTTATCCGGTACTATCATTATGCCACTCGGTACTATCAAAAATGTTACAAAATGTATGGTTATGTTACCCACTGAAATCAAGATGTTACTCCGTACAATCTGGATTGTAACTGATAGAATCTACATTGCTGTCCGTATATGAAAGATCAAATATGGTACCTGGTACTATCTAGATAGTACACCGTACCATCTATTTCTCTCCATGTGGAGTAAAATTCATGTAGCGTACTAAGTGAAAAAAAAGTTAATTAAATCGGGCTGCACATAGTTTAGCCCTAGAGGTGAGTACTTTAACCACCAAGTATTGTTAGGTTTTTTCAAAAACTAAAGAAGAGAGAGGGGGTTGAATTTTTTTGCAAAATTTAAACATTGTATTTTTGAAGACATGTAACTTTTTAAACAGAAAGATGACAAAAATTTGACCTATATGTTTTCGAAAAGTTTTTTCCTGCTCTTTCGAATGGTGTAAAATTTTTTTCAAAAAATTAAAAATTTGACCCTTTTTTGAAAACTAACAATATTTTTACTTTTTTTTAAGTTCGGTCTTTTTTTTTATTTACTTATTTTTTTTTAAAGCTAAAAATGTGTATTTTCACCACAAAAAATATTGAAATGTTCTTTTTAGGGTTCCGTACCCGAAGGGGTAACCCTATTAATGAGACTAGTGAAGCAAGACATGTACCCCCCCCCCTAGCGGACACACGAATTTATCTAAACGGCTGAAATTTGGTACACATAAGTATTTGGGCGTGGAGATTACAGGAAAAATATAGCAAATCTCATAGGAATTGATTATCATAGCGTTGTCAAGGAAAAATCAAAAATTGTGAAAAAAGCGATTAATCCTCCTAGCTCACACACTATTTGACCAAGACAGTTTATATTTGGTGTACATGCATATTTTTGCATGTAGATTACAGGAAAAATATAGCGAGCTCGATAAGAGTTGATGATCATATTGTTTTTAAGGAAAACTCATAGTTTTAGAAAAAATTATGGATTTTTCGAATAAAAAAAGAAGAAAATTTTATCTTAAATGATTCTTTATACATTTTTACGTATTTTCACGTGTAGATTACAAAAAAATATAGTGAGCACGATTGGAGTTGATTGTCATAGCGTTTTCAAGGAAAAATCAATAAAATTCGATAAAAATCATAAATTTTCCTCAAAAAACAAAAAAAATTTTATCTAAAAGACTTAAAATTTATACATTTTTACTTGTAGATTACAAAAAAATATAGTGAGCACGATTGGAGTTGATTATCATAGCGTTTTCAAGGAAAAACTGATAATTTTCGGTCTATGTGTCGATCTATATGTATTTCCATGCTCACATTACAGGAAAAATTAAGCAAAATTGGAATTTTTCTATCGGCCTTCACACTATAATCCCCTCAAATTTTAGGTTTAGGGGTACGGAACCCTCGGTTTTAATGCGAGTGTAACTCGCACTTGTCCGATTTTTTGTTATTTTCGAGATATTAACTATTTAATTAATTAATTAATGTTAAGAAAAAATGAAATATTTTACAAATAGATAAAGTTATTGCAATTCTGAAGCTACCAATAGAAAGCTGACGTAATTCCGCATCCAACGATCCCTATATGATCTATTTGGGATTAGAGGATTTTTTA